TTCCCTTATTCTATGATCAATATGAAAATAGGTAACTCTTATTTATTTACAGTGTCGAAAGAATAAAGATATAAACTAATATATATATATATATATATATTTATTTATAAATGTATTTTTCATTTTGTTTTATTTTATTTAATATACTAGATCATTTTTTATTACATTGTTACGTAATATATTATCATTATCAAGACGCGGATGTTGGCAAACAGCTTTTGAGTTTAGCAAATTGTTACTTGCGCTAGATCCAATAAATGATCCAATATGCACATTACATTATATAGATTTTTTGGGATTAAAAGCTCGGCAATACTCATATGTTTTATCGATAACTGATGAATGGAACAATCACAAGTTGGCTGATTTGCCCAATTTTGCATATTCTACTGCTATGGCCAAATTTCAATTGGAATTACAAGATAATAAAAATAATGATAATGATGATGATAATAATGTAAGTTTACCATTTATTTATTTATTAATTGGTTTCTTATTCATTAATCATTTATGATGATAATAATAGATATTTTATTGCTTCAAAGTTGCATAAGATTAGTAGTGCAATGTTGGAGAAGGCAATCCTAAAGTTTCCAAGTGTAGTATTACCATTAGCAGAAAAGTGTGAAATTAATCTCGATAGTGATTTGACTGATAGCCCGTATCTTCATGAAATGTAAAACTTTATAATTTATAATTTATAATCTATGTTTTATATATATATAAACACTAATATTATCATTATTATTATTGTAATGATAGTCCTACATCAAATTGCTTGAATCTATTGATAGAAATGTATGTTGATCAAGTTCATCCTTTATGGACTCAACCTGAAGTAAGTTTATGTTTTTACAAATAAATATTTTTATATTTGTGTATAATTAATATTTATTTGTTCCCATATCCATCAAAAAAATTTTTCGATAGGTAATTAGTTGGTTTCAAACAGCTGTAACGAATGTTGTTGTGAAACTTCAAATACCAACATATAAAGGTAATAGATTAATTAATATCCTAATAAAATATTATTTTCTTTTAAATATTTATCAATTATAACAATTAATTATATTATGTACCTATAGGATGTTTGAGTGATAAAGAATTCAGTGATACATTTATTTATGGTGATAACGTTAGACAAAATCATTTCACCAATTCAATACCACTTGATCTTTGTAGATACCTCGTAATTTCAGGTACTTGCATATTATTACTATTACTTATATTTATTAATATAATTGCGATAATATTA